TTATGTCTTCTTTAAGACAGGGCTGGTTTTCTCCATTAGGAGATTCCCAAATGTATCGCTGCTTCCAAGAATCCACTTTCTCATTCCAAGGTATTGCTCAAGCAAAGACGGCATGCGTAGAGAAACCCCAGTGACAAGATCAGCATGCGGATTAAGCAACTTGCATAAATCAACACAAGGGAGCAAGAAGAAGAAAAAACAGACTTGTGCAGCATTTTTTACCGGTTGTAACACAGAGTCTGGAATCTTGCGAGCAAGTTTGAAGCAAGGACTGGAGATTGCTTTCCAACAACATACACCTATGGAAAAAAGCGGCTCAGCGCTGCAGAGGGGTGGGTTCAATTAAGGCTGCCGAGATCACCGAGACCGACCTGAACAATCAAGGGGGGAATTAGAGCAGCCTCAGTTCAGCGTCCACAGCTGTCATGCTGGATGCGCAAAATCCAAGAAAGAGAGGAGGAGAGGAAGACAAAGACACCCCCACCCCCACACAGTGTCAGACTGACATGTAAGATGTTTGGCCACCATTTATACAGGCTGGTGTACTCGAGGAATTGTGTACACACACACACACACACACACACACACACACACACAAATTCCCCGATCTCCTGTACCAGCAGTCCATCACCAACTATTCCTCCAGTTAATGAAGAATCATAACATCATTGCAGAATTGGTTTGGAAGGAACCTCATAGAGGTGGGCACGAACCAGCACAACGGCAGTTCGTGATGGTTCGTCAGTATCCACAAACCACGAACCTTGATGATTTTTTTAAAAAAATGAACCGGTTCATGGTTTGTTCAATGTGGGCTGATATTTTTATGGGTTTCCCACCCCATGGCCTCCCCCATGGGCCCCAGCACCTACCTTACTTGCTCTGGGCCCCCTCCTCCCCTTTGCCACAGCTGCGCTGCCCAGCCGAGAAGGACAGTAGGGTGTCTGGGCCAACCTCCTGCCCCAGTGTTTCCTTGGGAGGCATAAGGTAGTGTGGTTCTTTGAGGGTTGCCTATATACAGCCCAATGGGCAGCAAAACCACACTCCCTCCCCCATGGGCCCCAGCATCTACCTTACTTGCTCTGGGCCCCCTCCTCCCCTTTGCCACAGCTGCGCTGCCCAGCCGAGAAGGACAGTAGGGTGTCTGGGCCAACCTCCTGCCCCAGTGTTTCCTTGGGAGGCATAAGGTAGTGTGGTTCTTTGAGGGTTGCCTATATACAGCCCAATGGGCAGCAAAACCACACTTTAAAGACCTTAAGCCTCCCACGAAGCACTGGGGCAGGCGGTAGGCCACAGATAATCTACTGTCCAACTCAGCTGGGCAGTGGCAATGTGGCAAAGGCGAGAAACAGACCCATTAATGTAGTAATGTAGGTGTCGGGGCCCGTGACAGGGGGCTTTCTGGGCAGGAGAAACAAAACCATATAAAACACCAACTATGTAAAATTTCAGCGATTCACTTTGATTCATGACTGCGTGCTTCCCTGAACCGTCCATGCAACAAGCTCAATTTCGTGCCCATCTCTAAGGCTCAGGGTTCACGTACTCCAACCCCCTACGAATGCAATAATCCACAGCTCCAGCATTTCTAACAAGTAGCCACTCCATCTGTCTCCAACCAAACACAGTCTAAAACATTCCAAGGTAAGCTGTTCCATTCCCCCACAGAGAGACAAAAAAGGCATGTGGAACCATACCCCAAGCCTGCTTGAAGCCATTTTTTTCTTCAACCGGACTAGTTTGTTTTGTAAAGCTAAAGGACCTACAGGACCGGTAATAATAGACTTAAGTTACAGGAAGCCAGATTTCAACTGAATATCAGGAAAAAAATTCCTAACTGTTAGAGCAGTACAACAATGGAACCAATGACCTTGGGAGCTGGTGAGCACCCCAATATTAGAGAGTTCCTGCTTTGCATCTCATCCACAATAACCAGTATGTTACACTGACTTTCTCAGCAGAATGCTAACCACGATGCTTTCCACTGAGACTTGCACAACCCATTGCTACTTGTAGAAACTTTGGAGACTTCTTTTGATTTGTTACTAGTTTGAAATCTGTCTAGATTTCAAACTAGTAATAAATCAAAAGTTAGGAAAGTTAGGAAAGATTTGAAAGTGCTGTGCGGAAATACGTTAAATATTAATCATTTCATCTCTGGTTGGTAATTGAAGCTGTCTTGTGTTTTTTTCATCAAAAGTTCTTTAGAAACAGTTGACTTTGCTACTAGGAACCAACATGCTAACGATTCCATGACCTGCGTAAAAACAGTAACCTAGTTCTAAAATGCATGTTTAGCCTTGAGAAAGACTGAGAAGGAGATAGGATAGCACATTTCAAATACTTGAAAGGTAATCATACAGAGGAGAGGTAGGATCTGCTCTTGATAATTCCAGATTCCAGAAATATAATAAGAGGCTCAAGCTACAGGAAGCCAGATTTCAACTGAATATCAAGAAAAACATCCTAACTGTCAGAGCAGCACAACAACGGAACCAATTACTTGGGGAGGTGGCGAGTGTTCCAACACTGGAGACATTCAAGAGAAAATCAGTCAGCCATAGAAATCATAGAAAAGTGAAGTTGGAAGGGGCCTACAAGACCATCAAGTCCAACCCCCTGCTCAACGCAGGAATACAATCAAAGCATATCTGTCAGGTGATTATCTAAGTTTAGGAGGCACCCATATACACACAAAAAAGGAACTTGTTGTCACACAAACCTGCATGCTAGGTGATTCCTTGTGACTAGCATTTGTCACTGTGAAATCCTTCTATCGTTTGCTAAGGCTTGAAAGCAGCCAAGAATGATCTCTACCCCACAGTTTGCAGCAGTTTGAAACAGAGCTGGCCACATTGGCCGGTTGAGCTGGCCAGTGTCAAGGAGGTTTAGATCCATCCCCCAAAAAAGGTATGATTTCTAGGCTTAGATTTGATACCCCTTTAGCTGCCTTTGTTCCATCTTATAGAATCCTGAGAAGTATAGTTTGTTGACATCCTTGTAAATGTCTACTATATTTCAAGGGAGTGCACCAGACCCATGAGGTTTCCGAGCATCTTGCCAAAGGACAAATGACAGGGTACCATGGGAAGGAAGGAGCCCCAATGGTTAAATGGTATCGGACAACTACTTCGGTGTAGTATAGATACAGTCCTAGTGTTTCACCTTAAGCATCGGATCTCTCAGATATATATTGGTCGGCCAGCCACATGTGCCTTTTTCTCTCCAGTCTCAGTCTGTGCCACTAATTGCATCCATTAAGCTAAATCTAGTTCAATCTCATTTGTTGTCTTAAAGAGTCTCTCTCTCTCTGGTAGACACAGACACCTTGCAATACAGGTAAGGGAAGAAAACAGAATGCAGGTCAAGATTTATGAAAAGATAATGAGCCAGCAATTTCTGCCAAAAAATGTGTTGTCTTCTTAGCAGCCTGAGAAACAAACACCGGGATTCTTTCAACTCTCTCTCTCTCTCTCTCTCTCTCTCTGTGTGTGTGTGTGTGTGTGTGTGTGTGAGAGAGAGAGAGAGAGAGAGAGAGAGAATCACTACTTATTTCCGAGGAAATTCATTTAAAATATCCTCCCCATGCCCCACCCCTCCTCCTGCACTATATTCTGCAAGGAAAGAATGTCTTGATTATCTCCAGTCACTGAAAGACTGGAGACAACTCGAACATTGTCTTCTCCCAATCATGAGAAAGAGGAAGAGGTGTGAGAAGCCCACAGTTCTTAACTGCAAGTCTTGGTTGGGGTTTAGCCAGATCTGGCAAGAACCACTGAAAATGATTGGCTAGAAGTAGATTTGGACATCTGAAACTGTAACATACAGAAGCTTAGTCGTGTAGTCCGTAAGTAAAACCAAAAATGCAGAGGTGGATGAATTTATTGGGCCACTGGAAGGCAGTGATGAATGTAGTGGGTTTGATGCCTCAGCAAAAGTATCATCCACTGCTCCTTCTTTACACTGGATATGATCCACCAGTAGTTTTTGTGTACTGCTGGTAATCCTTTCATTGAGTCTTGTGCATAGGAGATTCTACCTGAAGTAGGCCTACTTTATGCTAAAACAAAAGTGAACTGTCCCTATGCGTCCTTGCGAGAGCTAGCAAAACTTGACAGAAATGAGAACTTTCCTTAAAATTTTGCATACCAGATATTAGGCCTAGTTTATGCTAAAACAAAAGTGATCTGTCCCTTGCAAGAGGTAGCACAACTTGACAGAAATGAGAGCTTTCCTTAAAATTTTGCATACCAGATATTAGTATGGATTTGTGTATACTTTCCATATCAACAACAAGCAGTTTTTCATGATTGGACACGCAATGCAATGTTGTTCTTTACACTGATTTGGCTTTCTCCAATCTGATGACCTCCAAATGTTTTGGGTTTCACCACCCATAATCCTAGCTCTGTTAACTAGGCATGATGGGAGTTGTAGTCCAAAAAATTTAGAAGGCACCAGCTGGACAGGGGTATTACTATAATATTTGAGATAACGTTTGATGGATCTGATGTTGGATATAATCATTCATGTTAACCCAGCCATTGGAATAGGACTTTATACTTAAATTCCTTATTTCACTCATCTTCACAATGACCATTTCAGAGACAAGACTGCTGTTGCCATTCCAGTTTTCTCAACAATCAATATCTTGGTCTCCTTTTGAAAAGATCCTATAAGCCACGGGGGGCTAAACCAAAGAGGCAGCTGCCAGCAAGACACAACCATGCCATCGAGGGGCACCTCAGCGTTATAGCCCCACAAAAGTAACTTTTCGAAGACCTTGGTCTGGTTCAGGAAAAAGAATTTTGTGTAAAGCCCAACCTGTGTAAAAATAAAAGTAAACTCCTTTTAAAAATCATTTTATTTTTCAATCAGATGTATTCTTCCTCCTGGAACCTTATCAGCCTACTGGTATTTTCACCAGTGAATTCTAAATCAGTAAGCAGCGGGGATCAAGAGAGACAGAGAGTAACAATCCGCAATTAAATTCATCTTACCAGACCATCGCAGTTGCTAACAGCGACCGAAGCTCCTGGAATATCCACAAGATCTCCAACATAGGCACAGTTGGTCCACAGAGATTCCTTTTTCCACACCGTGTCCATGATGGTTTCAGTCCGACCGCTAGTTCCATTTTTGGCTTCCACAGAATCTTTATACCACTCCACCACTGCCCCAGGAGCTATTAGACGGGTGTTAGGTCTCAGCCTCAGATGGAATTCCCTTCCAAAAGCCGAGACGTTAAAATACAATTGTTTAGGACTCGACGATAAGTCCCTTGCGGTCCTTCGTGAATAACTTGAGGAAATAAGGCTGGAGATGTAACTTCCATCTGCCCGGGTGCTGATTGGAATTGCTATCACATGGTGCTTGAGCCTATTTTGGGGTGTTTCTGCTCAAAAAAACAAAAGGGGGGGGGAGAGAAAGATATGAAAATTTAGATGCGTCTGTGCTATGCCTATCTGAACAAACAGAATCAATCCAGAACGTGTAGAACTGACTTTTGAGGACTACATATGCCAGAATCCCCCAATCAGAACAACTGCTGTCGATGTTCATGCTGAGGATTCTGGGTGTTGGTGTCCCAAATGTCATGCTCCGGGTAAGGATATCAATCAGGACAGAACCTCATAAGAAGAACTGTGCTGAAACAGACCAATGACCCTCTGCTTCAGAATCTTGTTTCTCACACTGGCCCCGAGTTATAGGAAAGCCCCATAGGCAGAATGTAAGCAACAGATTCCATTTACATTGCTTGCCTCTAAGAAAGGGGCATTGAAAGATCCACTGTTCCTGACCACAGAGGCTCCATTGATAACTCAAGTTATCTTGCTAGCTTATTAGTTACACATTTAGGACACCTTTCCGCTCAACTCCTCTCCCCACTGTATCCTCACGACAATCCTGGGCAACAGGTCTGGCTGAATGTGTGTGTGTGTGACAACCCCAGGATCACTGTGTGAGTTTCATGCAACAGGGGAGGACTTCAACTAGATCTCCCATGTACCCATCCAGTGCTCTAACCGCTACACACCACTGCTTCTCCTTGCAGAACTATCAGCTTGTTTGTTCACCCTCTGCTCACTCTCAGCTCCCAGCAATAGCATGACAGATAATATCTGGATACCTGAAGGACCGCCTCCTTCCATATGAGCCTACCCGGCCGTTAAGATCTAGCCAGGGGGCCCTTTTGAAAGCGCCATCCATCAAGGAGGTAAAAGGGACAGCTTGTAGACAAAGGGCCTTTTCGGCAGCTGCCCCCAGACTATGGAATGCCCTCCCGACTGAGATTCGTCTGGCGCTGACGTTGATGACATTTCGGCGCCAGGTCAAAACCTTCCTGTTCCAGAAGGCTTTCAATTGAAATGATATCAACTGTGGGTGCTGATGACAATTTTAATTGTATTGTAATCATCTTATCTTTTATTGTATTTTAAGGTGTTGGCAGGCCCTGGGAGAGACAACACACATCCCACAGCCCGCAGGCTCCCCACTCTGGCTTTCGAACAAGTATCATCACTCCCTTGAGCCTCGTGGCACAGTGTTTAAACTGCTGTACAGCAGCCAAAACTGCTCACAACCTGGGTTGAATCTCAAGTAGCCAGCTTGAGGTTGACTCAGCCTTCTATCCTTCCGAGGTTGCTAAAATGGTAAAATGGGGAGGTAATGTGTTGCATGCATAATTAAGCTGTAAACCACCTAGAGAGTGCTTTGAGCGCTATGGGTTGGTATATAAGCAGCATGCTTTGCTTGCACTTTGCTTCCTTCTTCATCTTCAAGCTGTAGCGCAGGTGTAGCTGGTCCCAACTTAACTTCCCCAGCTTTAAACACTGAAGTTGAAACAAATTCATCCAGCTGCCAACCAGCTGCCAACAATCAGGTGGGATGGAATATAAGGAGAGGAGGAAGAGGGAGATAGCATTAATGAGCTTTCCTTGTAGTCAGCAGGGATCTGTAAATGGAGAAGTGGAAGAAGCAAGCTCGTTTTCTTTTAAAAAAAAAAACATATCCGAAGACAATTAAAATCAAATGTGACACGCTTAAGCCCTGAAGACATTCAAGGATCTCAGTTGACTCGCTTTGTCCTTTTCCCAGAGTCTAAAGTCTGTGGAAATGCAATTTCATCCCTTGGCAGTGGAAATGCATCTTTTCTCATCATGGGTTCCCCCCCCTCGCTATGCCAATTATTGAGAACATCCTGTTAAGCTTGTTGGAAACTTTTCTCTGTTCGCTAGAAAAAGAACGATCCCAAAACGCATGGGTAAGGGTGCGGATCTTGACACACAAATCTTAAACCTTGCAAGCAAATGTCGATTCTCGCGGAATGATCCATGGAAGGTTTGCAAACTGAAGGAATTTTAAATGGCTTCCACCCCCTTGTTTTTCCTCCACTACCCCAGCACATTTCTGCTTTAGATACACAATGATCATGTTATAAGAATCCGTTTAAGCAAACTCTTTCTTATCCTTACAGGATGTTTCCCTAAACATTAGCTAAAAGAGAAGCATTTGTCAGAAAAGTGCATTCAGCAGGATTCCCAGAAGGAATCCTGACACCCACTTTCAGGTTTGCTAGACCACACATGTTGATCATATTTATCTTATTAGAGCTGATTAAAACTTGAGGACATTTCTCTTGGGCTTCCTTTACAGGTTTCACAGGAAAGAGACCTGCCTGATGTGGGAAAAAGAAAGAAATTGGATGTAATTGGGAACGAATGAGTATCAGAAGAGTTTGCCACTCTGTTCAATGTTGCATCATGTTTACTCAGAAGTAAGTCCATTGTGTCCAGTGGTGTCCATGCATGGGTAAACATGTAAAGCACTGCAGCATAAAGTTAGAGGGAAGCAGACTATATCTCTGCGAAATGCTGCTTCTGATATTAAAAGGGGAAAGTCAACAAAAAAATGAACTGCTGGATAGTTCAGTGGGTCAGGTCTCTGGCTGCAGAGCCAGAGGTTGGAGGTTCAATTCCCCACTGAGCCTCCTTGACAGAGGTTGGACTCTAAGATCGCAGAGGGTCCCCTTCCAGCTGTGCCATTCTAAGATTATATTGATGTACCTAACCCAGAACTGTCTACGCCAGTGATTCATTGTCTGGTCTTCCAAGACAGACTGATCTTTAGCTTCCTGTAGCCTGAGCCAGCAGGACCAACCACGTAGGATTTGTGGAAATAGAAGCTCAGAACATCTGGAGGCAAAAACATTTCCACCTGTGGATACCAGAGATAGGACCACTAGGATGAGACAGTGTGGTGTAGTGGTTATGGTGTTGCACTCAGAGGTTGGGGGAACCCAGATTTTGGTACTAAATGAGCCATGGAATGAGCTGGAAGACCTCCAACCCGTCACCCTCTCCCCCTCTCTTGGACTCATCCACTCATAGGTTTGCTGTGAGGAGAAGAGGGGATGAAGACAGTCAAGGACAATGCCTTGAGCTCATTGGAGGAAAAGTAGGAGATAAGGGGTCATCTTCAACCTCAGGAGCAGCGTCTGACCTATATTGACAGAAAGACACGTAAATGCAGAAAGCTTAGGCACCACCTGGTTGGCTTTGTCTGCCTTACCGTTTGTTTGCAGGGGATTTACCCCTGGGGCAAACAGGTTTAGACTGGGGGGTGGGTGGTTTGGAGACTTTCTGTGCAATATAGGTGTGGAAGTCAGTTTTCCTCTTTGAGCCACAAGGAGGATGGCAAAGGATTCTCAAGAGTGCAGTCAAAATACTCCTATCGATTTAGGCCTAAAGGGTTTTGGATTTGGTGAGCCCAGAGTGTCAGATTTCTGCCTCCAGGGAGCAGCTGAGTAAAGCTCACATGTGCCCTCTGCAGCGAAAACAGCTGGCCAATGTCATTCGGGGTAATTAGAAAGCCAAGCTCCTGTCAGAAACTCATCAGCGTTATCAGAATTCTGTCACCTTCCCGCCTGAAAGCTGTGCGGAATTTGAGAGCAGCGGTTCGAGGTGGCTGAGCCAAGAAGCCTTTGTAACCTCCCGAAAAACGATTGACGGGCCTCCGATTTTTTCTCTCTCCCCGCCCCCCATCACAACAGCTAAAAATACTCCTTTTATTGTTAGCAAAAGATGTCACCCGATGACGTATGAGGACGGGTCTGTGCCTTACACATTGGCACGACAGAGGCTGTTTGCTCATTCAACATCTGGAAAATGGGACTACCGCTCCCAGAATCCCTCACTGCTTCGCTGGGGATTCTGGAAGTGGTCGCACAAAAACCTAAGGTCTCGAAACTCTGCCTGCAGGGATACAGTCTCACTTTTTTTGCAGGCTGCTTTTCTCTCTCGAGGTCACTCTGGAGGCTAGAAATAGATGCCCTGGTTTCATTAGGTCATTGTATACTCCTTGGGAACAGTACAGTGGTGCCTCACTAGACAGTTACCCTGCATGACAGTTTTTTTGCTAGACATTCACTTTTTGTGATCGCTATAGCGATTCGCAAAACAGTGATTCCTATGGGGGAATTTCACTGGACAATGTTTCGTCCCTGCTTTGCAAACCGATTTTTGCTAGACGACAATTTTGACAGCTCCCTCCACGCTCGCAAAACAGGGGTTTTCGGGACCTAAGCTTCGGAAGACAGCAATTTAAACAGCTGATTGGTGGTTCGCAAAGCGGCTTTCCTATGGCCGATCGCTAGACAACGATGATTCTTCCCCATTGGAATGCATTAAACAGGTTTCAATGCATTTCCATAGGGAAATGCTTTTCGCTAGACAATGATTTCGCTAAACAGCGATTTCGGTGGAACGGATTATCATTGTCTAGCGAGGCCCCACTGTAATCTGTTCTTCTGTGGGTTTGGCAGTGCCGTGCATTAGGAACTGAACTTTTGAAAAAGTTAACAGCTTAGCACAATGGGCTTCACAACTATGGAATATCTGTTAACAACAGCAGCAGCAGCAAGAACAACTGTAGTGTGTCGTCAAGTAAGTTCTGACTTATGGCAACACTTTTTCAGGTTTTCCAGATAGAGAATACTCAGAAGTGGTTTAAAAATGTAAAGGTTCCCCTTGACAATTTTGTCCAGTCATGTCGGACTCTAGGTGGTGGTGCTCACCTCCGTTTCCAACCCATAGAACTAGCGTTTGTCCGCAGACAATCCTCCATGGTCACGTGGCAGGTTTTCCAGATACAGAATACTCAGAAGTGGTTTAAAAATGTAAAGGTTCCCCTTGACAATTTTGTCCAGTCATGTCGGACTCTAGGTGGTGGTGCTCACCTCCGTTTCCAACCCATAGAACTAGCGTTTGTCCGCAGACAATCCTCCATGGTCACGTGGCCAGCGCGACTAGACACAGAATGCCGTTTACCTTCCCTCCGAGGTGGTACCTATTTATCTACTCGCATTTTTGCATTTTGCATGCTTTCGAAC